CTGTGAGATCATGACCTGAGCTTAAGTCAGAGGCTTAACCAACTTAAGCCACCCAGGCTCCCCTTTGTTCTTTCTCTCCTGGCTTTTATTTGTAGAGCTATCAGGGACTGAAAAACATTGACAAAGGTTCTTCATTTGACCAAATTTTACTCAGTCTTCTAAATCTTCTCCATGGCCCATCTGTGCATTTCCTTGTAAAATCCAGTTTGAGCAAGAACCCTGTTAAGTCAGTTTAACCTGAACCCCCACCCTTGATATCTGATCACCCCTCCATATCTAATTGGGTTCCTCATCTCCTGTCATCCCCCTCAGGTGATGTTTGAACACCCTGGCATGTTTTTGGCAAAGAAGCAGGTTAGGTCAGTTTAGCCAGAACTCCCCTTACTCCTGATGTTGCCTCTTAGTAATTTTCCATCCACCCATCCCTACCTTGCTCTTTGTCTATAAATTCCCACGTGTTTATGCTGTTTTAGGAGTTAAACCCCTTCTCTCTCCCCCACTATAAAATCCCATTGCAGGCATCCCTTTACCTACTGCGATGGTCCTGGATGGGGTCTGCCTTACCACCTAATGAGTGCCACTGAGTATTTTTTTCTTTAACAACTTAAGGGGTATCTTTTGTCTTATAGGCAACGTTTTAAGACTCGTAGTCTGTGGGCAGTGTCTGGTTTTCAGAAATGTTTTGTTTGGTGTTTATTGCAAATGGATTTAGTTGCCAATGCTTGAATAATAGGCACTATCATGTAATAATCCAGATTTTCTATTTTCTTGAAAAAAAATCTGAAGAAATGACAATATGATTAAGACAAAAACTGGCTGAGGCAAGGTAGAGTCTGCTTCCTCTGGACGGGGCAGGCTTTCTCTTACTTCCCCTTGTGCCTCTGCGGTTGGCTTCTCTGGCTATTTTCCTCCACCTGGAGGTGTAGGCCTTTGCCTCTGCAATTCCTTCATTATGGTTCTCTAAGTACTTAGTACTTCATGGTGTTACTACGTGTCTGTAAGGACACTTCCACAGTCCGGTTTTTAATTATATGAATTTCTAAGGATCTGAGAACTCATAAGAAAAGGAACATACTATGCATAATCTTGAAGGAATATGGAATGACATTATTCAGATTCGTATTGCACCAATTCATACAGGTTTCTTGGAGCTCTGACGTTAATGCTTAATTGTGTGCATAATTATAACACTATAATTGTGTGTCAGTAGAACTTTTTGTTAACGATGTGATTTAGATGTATTTCAAGAAAGTAACTCAATCGAAGTTGAGTTACTCAAATCAATCAATTAAGCCATTGAGAAATGAAAATACTGAAATTTTGGAAAATTAGCTTTTGGTCAAAGAATGCATGCTATAAGAGGATGGTTCTATATATAAGTAGAAAAAGAAATGGACAAGAGTTTTACATCTTAAGTACCTGAGCACATAATTTAGCATTTTAATTTGCCTTTATTTTGGCTGAATTCAAAAGGAATTAAACAAAAATGAACCAAGTGTCTACTAGGGCCAAGTATTTCTGTCTATGAAGTACAGTTTTACTCAGAAGCAGTCCATGGTTTCTGCACTTCTTTTAGTAAAGGAATCATAAGAGTGATTCCTGTCCTAGGCAAACTGTGTTAGATTACCCTTTGAAGGCTCTCAACCATGTGCTTGGTTTGGTTTTAAGATTGTATACCTTAAAGTTTAATTAATACAATGACTGAAAAATGCTTACATTTAAAGGATAAGATTAACATAATTTGTTCACCTTGAACGATGTGCAGGAAAGATGAATACAATGATATGAATTACATGGAAAAGATTAAGTTAGCAATTGAGACTTTAAAGAAGTCTGAGGTAAACTTTACTTACTTGGGGGTTCGTAGGAAAGTTAAGCAATCACTTTGCTTTTTTAAGCAAAGCAGTAATAAATACTGTATATGTCTCAATATAAGGTGATCCCAAGACACTAATGTTTATTTCCCCAAATGAGAAGTTTTGAATATATAAAATAACCATTAGGCATATGGATAATGGTCAAATATTTACTTATATTTTAATGTATTAACTTCCACCTATGTATATTAAAATCACATATTACATAGAATATTAATTAAAATACTACTTTTCTCCACCCTTAAAGTTCATGTGATTTGGCACTCATGTCTCTGCCATTACAGAACCCGTGTTTGGAGTCACCTGATTTTCTAGCACACACCATTTCTGTGAAAGTTCTTTTTGAGACTTAGTACTTTTTTGATAAAAATATGGTTTTGACACTCTAAACCATATACCAAACTACAGCATCATTTACGTAATAATGGGACAATTATTTTTAAAAATTTGTCCTGTGGGTGACTACTTCTGATTTCCAGCATGTAACCATCTAAAGTAGTGTTCTTTAAAGTCTTAATAGTCTTTTGCATGATCATATCTAACATTTGCAACTATAACAAATAATTACTAAATCTGTTTGGAATTTTTACTTTAAAAAACAGATACTGTTAAGTTACATCTGCAAGGATTTAAAACTAGGAATGATGGAGGTTGTTTCAGCTTAAATGTGTTTTCTCCAAACAAACCTTTGTTTTACATAATAACATAATACAGAGATTTAGATAAGGATTTAACTATGAGGTGATTAATTCACTCTTTCCTGGGAAATATTCTTGGGAGAGGAAAAAATTCTGCCTCATGCTTGAACATATATGATACTCACTTTCTTTTACTTCTGCCTTTCCAGGTTATTCCTTAAATCTTCACTAGTAAAGTGCAATAAAATGTAATAAGGTAGCTATCCGGGGGGTAGGGGGGAGGAAGCATCTTATTTAATGAAAAGTCAAGAAGATGTTATAAATATTGTTTCTAACTTATCCTTGTACATAGAACAATCATTAACATATCCAATTTTTACAGAAATATTCCTATACCAAAGATAGCAAGTGAGTAGATAAAAGGATATACTTCATGGCACATATTTTCTATGAATGTTCCCATAGTTGTATAATACTTATTGTGTGAGATTTTTATTAGGAGGTAGCAGTTAATTTGGCAGGAGATGTTGTCCTTGTCATTTCCTGATAACCATGAACTACACCATTAACCACAAACTACAGAAGATGAGAACAGCTGGTGTTTTTATAACAGAGGGTGATGAGGGAGATGAGAGAGCTTGGGAATACGAGAGGATTTAGAATTGATCATGCTTAGTGGTTTCTGTCTTAGTTATTCAATAAAATGCCTACTTTTAGGAACTGAAGAAAAATGAAGTAGTAAATATTATTGCTTTCATATCACCTATGAAAAAATTATAACATTTTTCAAGGAAGGAAAACTCACTTTTACTCTTGGGCTTCCAGCTTCATATGAAAAGAGTTTATGTCATTAATATACAAAAAATATGATAATTTTGTACTGCATATATTAGCAATAAATTGCACCAATGAAAATAATGATGGATTTTCATTTTTTATCTCTTAACAGTGGAAAGAGTGGAACGAGAAAACCTTTCAGACTATTGTGTTCTGGGCCAGCGTCCAATGCATTTACCAAATATGAACCAGCTGGCATCCTTGGGGAAAACCAACGAACAGTCTCCTCATAGCCAAATCCACCACAGTACTCCAATCCGAAACCAAGTGCCCGCATTACAGCCCATCATGAGCCCTGGTCTTCTTTCTCCCCAGCTCAGTCCACAACTTGTTAGGCAACAAATAGCCATGGCCCATCTGATAAACCAACAGATTGCCGTTAGCCGGCTCCTGGCTCACCAGCATCCTCAAGCCATCAACCAGCAGTTCCTGAACCATCCACCCATTCCCAGAGCAGTTAAGCCAGAGCCAACCAACTCTTCTGTAGAAGTCTCTCCAGATATCTACCAGCAAGTCAGAGATGAGCTGAAGAGGGCCAGTGTGTCCCAAGCTGTCTTTGCAAGAGTGGCATTCAACCGCACACAGGTATGCTTAGCATTGCACATGATAGTTGGTGGTTGAAATGATACTAAGGACAGAATTGTGACATCTTCTTTATCTCTTCAAAAAAACTTTATTGATCCCAGAGCACACAGAATTAACTAGTAATCCTTAGCTCAGGAAATACTTGATATGTGCATAGCCATAATTAATTAATTTCAGTAAATAATGAATATCTGTGAGCCCATCACCCAACTCAGGACCCAGAACGTTACCAATGCTTTGGGCCTATGTGCTCCTTTCTTTCCTCATCTTCTCATCTGCTTTTCCCCAGGTATAACCCTGATTTGAATTTTGTGGTTAACATTCACTTGTTTTTTAAAAACTAGTTCTAAAACTACTTCTGTACGCACAATCTATTTACTTTGTTTTTGAACTGTATAAAAAGAATATCATTGTATGTCATAATTTCTATAATTTTTTAAGTTTTTCAAAATATACAAGTTAGAGTTGAGATATTGATAAAGTGGGGGTGGGGGGAGATACCTGGGTGACTCAGTTAAGCATCTGACTCTTGATTTCAACTCACTTCGTAATCTAATTGTTCATGAGGTTGAGCCCCGTGTCAGGCTCTGTGCTGACAGTGTGGAGCCTGCTTGGGATTCTCTCTCTCCCTCTCTCTCTCTGCCCCTCCCCTGCTTGCTCATGTTCTCTCTCTCTCTCAAAATAAATAAACATTAAAAAAAAAAAGATATTGTTAAGGTAGTAATGAATAATTTACTCATATTTTTCAATATTTTGAGGTAATTACATGCCAATATAATACCAAGCAATAAAAAGATAAACAGTTTATTTATGTAGATCCTTCTATTGAGGACCTCACCTCAGAGTTTCTGATTCCATAGTCTGGGGTAGGACCTAGAAATTTGCATTTGTAGCAAGGTCCCAGGTGATTCTGATGCTGCTGGTCTGGTAGCCATATTTTGAGAACCATTAATTTGGTCCTTACATGAGTAACAAGAAAGTAAAAGTGCCAATCTCAAGGAGGTAATGACCTAGTAGTAAAAAAACCAAAACATATTCAGATAACAAAAGTGTGAAGTAAGGTGAGTGGTGTAGGAGAATAATGATGGTTGTAGTGGGTATCTATGGGGAGCTGGGGGTAAGGAATACTTATAGTAGGATGAATATAGTGAGTCTTGAAGAGGACAGTAGGTTTAAACTTGATCACCCTACTAAATGCAAGGCAGGAAGCTAAGCTCAGTGCAGATGCAAAGATGAAAAAGATCATAGGCAAGCACCATATGTAAATACCTGACTTGAATATTAAGTTTCTGGGGATTGAGACCTTGAAGGATAAATAGAATTTAACAGGCAAAGATGGAGAAGAAGGGTACTTTAGGCTAAAGGAATTAACAAGAAAAGTGCTGAGTCAGGCATGTGTGGGAATAGTTGGTAGTTGATAGCAAAGCTAGATAATAAAACTTAAACGGGGAAATAGATCAAAAAAGGTCTTAGGGCCATGCTAGGAACTTTGAACCTTATTTAATAGGCACTAGAAGCCATTGAAGGTCTCATGTAGGAATATGCTATAATCCAATAATCAGAATTGGACCTTAGGAAGATCTTTTTCTCTCATGATAGCGAGAAGGTAGGAATATCATTTAGAAGGCAGCCATAAATATCCAGCTGAAATGTGTAGAAGTTCTGAATTAGGCTGGTGGTGGTGGGATAGAGAGTACAAAATCAAGAAGAATTGTGGAAGTAAAATTGACAGAAAGTGCAACCACCTGAATGGATAAAGAGGGATGGACAATAAAGATAATGCCAAGGTTAGAGCCTTGTGGCTGAGAAGAAATCTGTAATTATTTAGAGAGTCAAAAAGAACATTGAAAGAGATAGTTGGAATAAGTTTAGTGATTACTTTGGATCAGGCTATTTTGACTCCAAAGTGCTGGCAGATCTTTCTTCCTTCCTTCCTTCCTTCCTTCCTTCCTTCCTTCCTTCCTTCCTTCCTTCCTTCCTTCCAAAATGTTGATTTATCTATTTTGAGAGAGTGGGGGAGGGGCAGAGAGAGAAGGAGAGAGAAAATCCTAAGCAGGCGCTGCCCTGTCAGTATGGAGCCTGATGCAGGGCTCAAACTCACGAACTATGAGATCATGACCTGAACCGAAATCAAGAGTCGGACGCTGAACTGACTGAGCCACCCAGGCACCCTGTACTGGCAGATTTGTTCCAATGAAGGTATTCAGAAGTCATTCAAAATATGAATTTGGTGCTAAAAAGAGTTTTCAGGGTTAGAGAAAGATTAGAAATTTACTGACAGAGCCTGAGATTTAGAGAGTCGAGGGAAGGAAGAGGAGAAACCATCACCACTACTCCCACCAGGAAAAGAGGTAAAAGAAATGCCAGTAGAGATGGGAGCAGGTGGAGATGGAAGAATAGGGAGGTAGTAGTGAGAGTATACAGAACATGAATAAAGAGTTTGCGGAAGGAGACTTGTCCTTGTGAGCAAAACTGAGACGTCTGGGCATGAGAAGCTTGAAACCATGCCATGAAATTTGGCAATTGGTTGGGAGAGACCTTTGGCAAACCTAGAGTGTAATTTCATTAGAGTTGAGAAGGCAGGAGCCAGAATTTAGGAGTTGAGGAGTGACTAACTGTTGAGGATACAGAAGCAGGGGCTGCAAATTACTCTTTCCAAAATTTGGTGTTGAAAAGGAGGTCAGAAGTGTGTTGACAGCTTGAATGTGATAGGGAGTCGATCTGAGATAGAAGGAATTGTGAAGTAGTTTGGGATCTCAGCTGAAGTTAACAGGCATGAACTAGTGATGGAACCAAGCACTGTGGTTTGGTAACAGTCTTCAGGAATGCTGGAGCCAGAGGAGTGGGAGCAGGGAAGAAGCACACACAGTGGGATGGTTTGAGGTTTGGTGCTGAAAGATTAGGTGTGGCAGGAGACCAAGAGGGTGAGATCTCCTGCCCCCTTGACTTCGCTAATTTATGCTTTCTATTATTGACAGACTCCGTTTACAGCATTTGAAAATGAGTTTGGAGGTCCACGGAGGTCTGCACATGTTCCAGATAGCACTCTATGATTTCTTTTTTGACTCAAAGTACTAAAGCAGCGTTTGTGTGTCCACAGTTATCTGAACTAGGGCTATGAAAAATTCTGGTGCTTTTGAGCCAGTGTGTTACATGTTATTGCTAAATACAAAGTGGAAGGATGCATCTTTTAGTCTTTATTTTGTGTTTACATGTGTAGTTGTGTGTGTGTGTGTGTGTGTGTGTGCATGTGTATGTGTGTGTGTTCTTTCATGTATCGTTCATGTGCATGAATAGGCATTTCATAGCTAGCCAACATTTTATTGGTTATATATACAGTTCCTTTGGCTAAGGATAAAATTGAAAGCATGGTTGTATTACTCTGGATTTTAGAATCAAATACAGTATATATTTTATCCAAATAGCATGAAGCCTGAGAGAAGACTCACAGAGAGGCTAGACAAAAGACAGACCTTGTTGGTGTGAGAGAATGCTCTGCCAAGGCCCTAGACTCCTGGAGGTCTGTCTTCTCCTCCACAATCCTTTTTGTCTATTTTTATGGATTAATGATTTTTCTTTGGCATTGCCATCGTTCAAGTGCCAAGTTATAAAAGGTCTAATTGAAGCATGGAACACATTTTATTATTTTCCTCCTGCCATTAAATTTGTAAGATGGCTACACCCAGAAAGGAACATTCACTTTCAATCAACATGAGCTTGAGTTCATGGGCCAGCCTTGAGGATATCAAATGGAAAATGCATAGGAATGTATGAGTATTTCCTTTTAAAATTCTGCTTTTAATTTGGGAAAGCTTTTCATCCCTCTGGGATCATAACCTGTTGTGTATAAAGCCCAACCTAATCAAGGTAGATGGTATTGACAGAATGACATAGTTTGAACTTAAGCTGGAGGTCAGCAGGCAGATTGTTTTTGCTGTATATACTGTAGTTGCTAACAGCAAGGTTGGACAGCTGGGTTTCACCAGCAGCATCATTAAATGGAAAACATGGTGTACTGTGCCCCATGAAACCAACCATGGATTTTCCAAATGTTAGGCTTTTTTTGAGTGGAATCAGACATTTATGGGTGATATCATGATTTGCCGGCTATAATAAACAAAAATTAAATTTATAGATAACAGCGTAAATGAAGTATTAATTTTTGGATAGAAAGGAATCTCACCATTTTTTTCCTTAAAGCAAACAGGACCAGAACCATTTATTTTAGGTGAATACCTAAGGCCAATATCAATCTTGTGTCCATTTGCTTTAGTGAGATGTAATATACCTTCAGTACACTGAGTATTTCCTAGAAATAGTTCATGATCTCTATTATTCATTTATTATCAAATTCAATAAAAAGTACTTTGGTTTGTCGTCCTATAGTTTGTATTTCTGGATTTGTGCTCAGTGATTGGACCGTGAACAACTAGTAATTAGAGACAGTGTGTATGTGTGTGTATAGAACAAATCACATGTATAACATTCATAAATGAAGCTAAAGCTGGAAAAAAAAAAACAACCACATCAGCCTAGTTTTTCATGTTTAAAACTTCCAGAGGAACAACTGATATTCATAATAAATAGCATTTGAAAATGCCAGTTCTCCAAGGAGAAACTATTAATTACTCTGTATATCTGATCTATTGCCACTATATCATTTGGTGATATAAAATAACACAATCGAGGGAATAGAGCTATATTTCCAAGAACTTGCTTTTTTAAAAAAATTTTTAATGTTTTTATTTATCTTTGAGAGAGAGAGAGAAAGACAGGGCACAAGTGGGGGAGGAGCAGAGAGAGAAGGAGACACAGAATCTGAAGTAGGCTCCAGGCTCTGAGCTGTCAGCACAGAGCCTGACACGGGGCTCAAACTCATGAAACGCAAGATCATGATCTGAGCTGAAGTCAGACGCTTAACTGACTGAGGCACCCAGGCGCCCCTCAAGAGCTTGCATTTAATACATTTTTATTTTAATCAGTGTGTCTTGAGATCATGC